ATGGTGTACACACAGCTTTACACTCATCTTTCTTACATGGAGAGGGGTCCATGAATATTTTATTGTGTGTATGCCTCCCTCCATGTGAGGGGGGTGTGAGGCTATGTGCACATTACATACACATAGCATGATTCTATATATATATACACACACACACGCAGCAGGAAGGAGAAAAAGGGCAGGTTGCTGTTGAGAATATATACACACAAAAAAAGGGCGGTCGGTAGAAAGAAATAAAAGAAAAACAAAAAAAAAGAAAAAGAAAAAGAAAAGAAAGAGCCTACTGACAGAAAGAAAGAAAAGAAAAAAAGAGCGAAGAAAATTTGAGTCAACAATGGTAGCTGGGGAGAAAAAAAATACACATACACGCAGGGACAAAAGGAGCAGACAAGATTTATTTATTTATTTTTTATTTTTTTCTGTGTGAAGTCTCAAATATGGAGGCAGAAAAGAGAGAAAAAAATGAGAAAAAAAAGGGTTGTTGTTGAAACAAGTTTTTATACACGAACACAATGACGGACTCAGGATTTTGAGTCAGAACGGGCGGTCGTGGATCGTCGATCGTTGTCAATAATAAAATATTAAGAGCCCCGTTTGATGTTTATTTTTTTTTTTTTTGCAAAAAGTGTATTTGGGAATAGTGATTTGATGAAAAATATGTAGTTAAAAATAAGGAAAAGTTTTGAATTTGAATGTAATATTATTTTATTGAAAAATGTGCCGTTAAAAGATGAGAAAAAATGTAATTTGAAAATAAAAAAGAATCAAACAAGGTCTAAAATTTAAATATAACAATTATTTTGTTCAAACTGTACATATATAATTTTGTTGTAAAAATTAACAATATACACCAAATGATATTATGTCTAAGTTTTGTATAATTCAAATGAAGAGCATGATTTTAAATTTTTATAATTGCATTTAAGTGCTAATATGTAACATATATAATTCTGGTGANAAATTAACAATATTCACCAAATGATATTGTTGCCAAATTTTGTATAATTCAAAAGAAGAGCACGTAATCAAATTTTTAGAATTGCATTAAACCCGCCAAAATGTAATATATATTTTTCTGGTTAGTTGAGTTTCAAATTTAGTGAATGCCATAATGGTCAAGTTCTCAATGACCTGAGGAGAGGTCAAGGTTTCGATTCTCCGCTCTTTTTCCTATTTAATTTCGGTAAAAATTAAAGAATTAAAAATCTTTCACAATAAAAGTGTTGGGAAAGTAATTGAAATCGAGACTTCCTATATGAATATAGGAGCTCTAATCAATTGAGCTACAAGAAACGTTTGAAACTAAGACAAATTACCATGTATATCATCTAAAAAATTTATTCATTGTAAAAAAAAATTGTTCCCATGGATCCAGCACGCGCGGCCGCTGGGGCTCGCCAGGTGCTGGGTCCGCCCCTGCACGAACGTGGCTGCGGATACACACACACACACACACTCACACACACAGAGAGAACAGGTGTAGAAATGAGGATTTAGTCACATAATCTGGTGATGTATTCAAAGACAATTTGTTGTGTTTATTTTTATATTATGAGTAACTGATTTTCATATTATGGTCAGCAATGTAGTCGACTTGTGATCCTTTATTTTTCTATTCAAGATTTAAGTGATTTATTCTTATATGTAATGATTTTACTATGAGTTTAATGCATTGAATTAATTGATCACTAATTTGATGATTGTGAGTCTTTTACGAATCGAGACGTGAGTTTGAGATTTAGATCATATAGTAAAATTTGATAAATTAATATAACGTGTAGAAATGCATATACTAATCACTGCGGTCATAATATGAATTCATAGAACTAGTGTTTCATTTAACAAAAGTTGATTTTCATAGAGATATGTAATTAAATTAGTTAAACAAGTTCATTGAGAACTCGATATGAGTAAATTGAATATAATAGAAGAATTCGATCGAACACTACATTAGGTTATGAATCTTGAATTAAGAATTAAGATGATCAATAGATGAAATTGTTATGCCTTGATATTTATCACATATTTGAATTTTCAATCAACCGTTTGCAAAATTTTGATATTTTCAAGGAGTTAAAAGTAGTTAGAAAAAAAATCCACAACCATCACAATTCTTTACTTACTTTTATCAAATAAGAGTTCAAAAAAGTAGATTAAGTCATGAAGTATAGTTCTCGTAGGAACGATATTCGGACTCAAAGATCATACTTGTTACGATATTGTACACTTGCGATATAAAAAAAACATAAAGGTACAACTGAAGCTTGACCGAAGGGTTTGTCGAAGGACCAAGACGGATATGTACCTCTATGCCCAACTTCCTTCCTCTGTAAAAGACTTGCTGGCCTATAATAAAATCCATTTTCTTATCTCTTTTCTTCCTTCGTATTCATCGATGTGCAGTGACGTGTTGTCTAAGACATATGGAGTGTGATAATGCCATTTTGGGCATTTTGAAAATGCAGCCGTTTTGATTGATGGCCATTGAACTTTACACTTAATGTCGTTTTGGCCATTGAACTTTAATTAGTTAAGACTCATCTCGAACTTGATTTATTCATTCAGACCATTGATTTAGTTTGACGTTTAATTTAACTAAAAATCTTACATGTTCATGTGCCAATATCAAATAGTTATTTTCAGTAAAATCCTACTACTTGGCAAATGAACATTGAGAATGTGTAGTTTAAAAATAAATATCAATCAAAGTCGGGGATTTGAACAAAATATATTGTAAACTCCGTTGATGTCTGAAACAATAGGGGTGAGGGGCCGATTGGGGCGGGATGATCTACCATATGGACATGGGGTTTTTGATTCATACAGTACATAATAATAATAGATAAGTAGGGGTTGGCTTAGAATAGGGACAATGGGCAAGGTAAAAGGCAATAATAGTAAAGAATAGATTGACTAGCTGAATCAATGCTCTGTCATCTCATACATAATCTCCGAACAATCAATCCCCGTTCTATTTATGGTTCTTATGGAGCAACATTGCAGCAAATCTTTTTTTATGACTTCTTTATTTAGTTCTTTTAGGTGCTTTTTGGGAAAAAAAAATGTGGTTGAAGTGATACTAAGCCGATATTTGACTCGAATTTCTAAAATTTATTTTTTTCAAATTCATTTTCAACCACACATTTTAATGAAATAATTTTTATCTGGATTATAATTTTTCTTTATTTTGTAATAGTACATGCTTAGAAAAAATCATTTTTCACAAAATTTATTTTTAAAAAATCTCGACTAAATAGGGGATAAGTGTAAAAGTTATGTGATCATTGGTGAAATTAAGGGGATACGTGTAAAGTTATGTGATCATTTGTGAAATTAACCCAAAAGAACAGATAATGCCCTTGTTTGGTGCACGTTATTTTCAAAATACATTTTTCTCTATCTTATTTTTAATCACACATTCTTCAATAAATTAATATTACACGCAAATTCAATTTTTTTTTTTAATTTTTTAATCATACATTCTCTATCAAATCATTATTCTAAAATTCATTTTGGCAAGAAAATGGGGTTCAAACGAACTCAATAAAGAGCAATCTTTCAAATTTTCATTTTCCTTTTTCGTGTCGTGCATTCTTTTAACAGTCAGCGTCCAGCTAGAACTCGCAATAGACATTACGTAGTGCACAAGTGACATTACAATTATATAATGTGTAGCAAAGCCCGCTAGATGTCACCCACAAAATACAACTCAATAAGAACTTGTACATGACGAAATTTGTTACAATTTCCAAAGGTACAATCT